TTCGTGGGGCCTGCTCATCAGCTGGCCCTCCAGGTGGGAGCCCAAACAAAGTCCATGCACAAAGTCAGATTCAGCGGCTGAGTGTGACAGGCGGATTCCCTGCCAGCTCTCCTTCTTTTAACATCACATTAAGAATCTGAAGGCAGTGTTTCAGAAAGATAAAGTGGCAGCACTTGTAGACTGTATTAGGGGCCAGGAGCCTTTTTTTTTTTTTAAGTCCTGTAGGCAATAGAGAGCCATGGAGGATTTTTGGGCAGCGGAGTGATACGGTGGAGTCAATGTCTTTCAGAAGTAGCTTGGGCAGCTGCTTAAAGCATGGATCGGAATGAGGAGGCTGGAGGCAGGAGAGAGGGGAGGTGCAGGACTAGGCTGTGTGAATGGGGAGGAGGAGCGAGTTGGAAGAGAATTCTGCCCTGGAGATGACAGATTTCACACTTTCAGAGCTGGCAGGGACCTCAAAGCTTGTCGGATCCATCTCCTCCATTTTATGCATGAGAAACCGAGGCCAGAGAGGGGTAGGCACTGGCCCAAGGTCACACAGCCAGTGAGCCCCGGGAGCTGGGCTTGGGAAGGACTTGGGGAATAATTGGAGTCAGGGAGAAAGGAGAGTCAGAGGCAGCTCAAGGATTTCCAGCTCAGCAGTTTTTCCGTCTCCCTATTGGATTTTAGTTGAGATCTTGACTCTCAGTCTCTGTGGGTAGAACTTCTGGGGTGATTTGGCTGTAGGGAGCAACTGGACGAGATTGTCTGATGCCGGTGAGTTTGGGGTTCAGGAGTTGGCCGGACAGGCAGGGACGTGCGCCCCTTCCTGTGGAGCCCCTGTCATCCCCTCCACCCACTCTTCCACACCCACCCACACACACAGAGAGACCTTTGGGGGCCAGGCACCACCCTGTCCTCCCTCCTCTTGGCTGGGCACACCATCCCTCCGGGGATCGCTGGCTGTCACAGCTAAGGTGCCCTTGGCCAAAGGACTTCCCGGGACTCTGAGGGCAGTGACGTAAGGTGAGGTGGAGAAATTGAGGCCCAGGGCTAGGAGTCACCCAAGGTCGCCCAGCCAAGCAGGGGCGCGGAGAAGAGGCTCAGCAGCCCAGCAGGAGGCTCATGAATATTCATCCATTCCTACGAGCCTTTGCGCAGGGCCAGGTGTCTTTGGCTCGCTTCCCAGAGCTGCAAAGTCAGGTCCGCAGGTCCGGGCCAGACCCAGGAGGGCTGAGGCTTACAGCAGGACGCGACCCAGCCGAGCACCCTCATCCTCCGCGCCCCACCCTCATCCATCACAGCCTGGCAAGGTAGGAGGATGCTCTCGGACCACTAACTTTTCTGACCTGGTTCTCAGTTTCCCCGGGAGAACCATTGGGGCATGATTCTGTCGTCCTTCTGGGCTGTCTTAGTTCCCTGCTCTGAGAGAGCGGAGCTGTGGCAAACATAAATGATACCAAACTAGTTCTGTTTGACTCTGTTACCCCGGGGATAAGCTGACGAGGGGGCAGTTGGAGTAGGGGCCCAGGTTGGAGCGGAGGGACCGAGGTGTTCGGTGGTCGGAAGCTGAGGATGCAGCTGGGACTTCTCAGTAATCTTGAGTCTCTAGGACACGCATGGCTCGGTTCCTATAAGCCGCTCTCCTGTTGAAAGCTTCAGGTGGGAGGTAGTCCTGCTTATTGGGACAGCTGCTTCCAGTATGACACTTTATTAAATCTTCCCCAGCATCTTCAACACTGTGCAGCCTTTTAGCTGGTTTCTTTTCTTTTCTTTTCTTTTCTTTTCTTTTCTTTTCTTTTCTTTTCTTTTCTTTTCTTTTCTTTTCTTTTCTTTTCTTTTCTTTTCTTTTCTTTTCTTTTCTTTTCTTTTCTTTTCCTGGCTGGCTGCATTTTCCCTTTCAGTAATCTTTCAAGGTAACAGCGTCTACAAACACTAAACAAATTACAAGACAAAGATTTTTCCGGAAAAACGCAGACAAAACAATAAGGCACATACCGGCTAGCCTTAAGATTTTCACTTTGTTATAATGAAAAGAGAGGAATTAAAACCAAAATGAATTACCGTTAAATCTCTTGCAGATTGATGTCAAATGTCCCCTAAGTCAATAGCACTGCTGTTTAGTTCTTCCCAGAACTGTCGGGAGCTCCCTGGTCCCACGCCATCTAAAATCTCTCCAAGGGGGAACCCATAGATATCTTATTACTGCTCGAACCCACCTTGTTTTACTAGCCCTGGGGGAAAACTTTAAAAGAAACCTAAACTTTAATCTTAATTCTAAACACCCCAATCCCTCTGACGAATTAAAAATCCCCAATCTCTGAGGCAAATTAAAAGCCCCCAATACTTGGGACAAACCTGAAAACTTCCTTGAAGCTGTATCCACACACATACTTTCCCAATCCCTGGAAAACTAGATCTAAACCTATGCTTTCCTAATCCTTGGGGAAACTGCCAAGCTTCTAAGAAAAACAAAAATTAAACCACCTTAAGATTTACCTGAGCTTGGAAGAAAAAGGCTGTGGGCCTGAGATCGAGCTCTGACTCGACCTCCCTGGCTCTGCCATGGGGCCGGTGAAAAATGCGATGACTGAGGGAGCAAAGGTTCAATCTGCGGAGCGTTTCGATTTTCTTAAGCAATGCATTCCAGTTGTCCAACAAATCGGGACCCAGTAACCTTCCTCAGCGTAGGGTTGGACCCCAGCACAGGGGGAGACAGACGTTAAAAACAATTAGCCAATTAATTAAAGGGAAACGATACAACATTAGGTGATCTGATTACTAATTGGATGAAAAATTAGGGCCTTCCCAAGTTGAGAGGGAGAGAGTGAACAAGTGGGATTCCCTGAAATCAAAGAAGGTGTCCCACTCCCCCCAAATGTCTGTATTCAGTCAAAGGTCGGTATGGTGCCAGTTTTCAGATAAGACGTACAGGTTGCTTGAGATGTACAATTGTGGGAAAACTTGCATCAGTCTTCAGATCTGACTTTCTGGTCAGCATAATTGAAGTCCTTAGCTAAGGGTCTTTAAGCAGCAAGAGGGAGTGGTCCAGCTTCCTGGACACCCAGGGGTAGGCTCAAACAATGCGATAAGATTTTCTCCCAATTCCTAAGATGGAATAAAGTTTTTTCACATGATAGAATTTAGACTAGATCCATAACTGAAAAGAAAGGGAACTGATCTCCATCAAAATTGAGTCACGAGGTGGGGTCAGTGGGGTTCCCTCCCTCCCACAATTAACGACTTGCTGTCCTGATCCCTTCAGTTCCCTCATACGGGGGACTGACAGCTCCTCCTCTCCCCATGGCATTGGGGGCCTCTGGGTGAGTGTGGCAGGGTTCTGGCTAGGGATGAAGCTGGCGGTGTAGACCCTCTGAGAACTGCTCACTCTAGGCAGGCAGATAACTGGGCAGACTGGTACTGAGAGGCATCAACAGAGAGTAAATGGGGCACAGGATGTGGTCAAGAGGACCACGGGCAAGCCTTCTCACTTTCTGAGCCCATTTCTCCATCTGCAAAATGGAGAAGGAAGGGTAAGATAGACTCAATGACTTCCAAGGTCCCTTCTGGCTTTATATCTATGATCCTGTGGTGATGAAAGTCGTGGATGGGAAGCCAAGCTACCTCCTTGCTGTGTGACCTCAGGGAAATCGCTTGACCTTTCTGGTCCTCAGGTTCTTCCTCTATAAAATTTGGGGGGGGCTCCATGATGGCCTTCAGGGTTCCTGTCAGCTCTAGGTCTGTGATCTGAAGGGCTGATATTTCCCTGCTTCCCCCAGCAGTGCAAGGACCTGGTGGACTGGCTCCTCTAGGGCTGAGGAAAGACCCTGGGCAAGTCACTTCACCCTATTTGCCTCAGTTTCCTCATCTGCAAAATGAGCTGGAATAGGAAACGGCAAACCCCTCCAGTATCTCTGTCAAGAAAACCCCAGATGGGGTCACAGAGAGTCAGATGCGACTGAAGTGACTGAACAACAACAAAGCTTCCTGCCCACTGGGAGTTTGCAGTCTAGTCGGGAGGTAAGACACTTACAGAAATCACCACAAGATGCAACATTCCTGAATGAGTGCACCAGCGAGATGCAAACTCAGTGGGATGTGAGTTCCCAGGATCAGTGCTGGGGAGGCTGAAGGGAGAGACAGCGGGGAGGAAGGATACTCAGGGAGCAGCAGGAGTCATGGCAACAGAGAGGGCCACGAGAGAGAACGCAGGGACCCCCCTTCCGCTCAGGTGTCATCGGTTCTGAGGTTCTGTTCAGCTCTCTGACGTACAATATTCTAAGGCCGCTCCCAGCTCGGACATTTCTGGTTCTAAGCTCCTTCCCAGCTCTGACCTTCCCTGTTCTAAGGCCCCTCCCAGCTCTGCCATTCCCTGTTCTAAGGACCCTCCAAACCTAACGTTCTGTAAATCTCCGATTCATTCTATGCTCTCCTTTCTGTATTATGATATTAGCAATATATTGGTCGGATACCTTGATCAGTATAACAGTCCTGTGAGATAAGCTGGCAGGTTTAATTCCATTTTCACGAAGTGACTTCCTGACTCCCCCAGGAGCAGAAACAGAGTTTCTGGGCTCCCTGGGCAGTGCCCGGTTCCCCTTGGTGTGGGCTGTTTCTGGCCCCTCTACCAGCCACATGAAACACAAAGTACCAAATCTAGAGAGGAGACTAAGACCTGGGTTCTAATCCGATCTCAGATGCCCATCGGCTGTGTGACCTTGGGCGAGCCCTTTTCACCCACTATCTGCCTCAGTTTCCCCAACTGTAAAATGGGGATAATAATAGCCCCTCCCTCCCAGGGTCGTCACGAGGATCAAATGAGATCTTGGTTATAAAACGCTTAGCACGGTGCCTGGCACGTAGCAGGCACTTAATAAATAAACGCTTGTTTCTTCCTTGCTACGTGCGACCTCGGCCAGGTCCCTTCCGCGGGCCAATGAGCAGGCTAGATTGTCTGGCGCCCGGCGCAGGCAGAGCAGGCTGGGGGCCGGGGAGCCTGGTCCTGCTCTGCCCCCTAGGGGCCGCCCAGGCCAAGCCGCACAGCCTTGATCTCGGCCAGCCAGCCCCACTGCTCCTGATGCAGCCTGGCAGGAAGGACGCCAGCCTGGGGGAGGTGAGCCCCCGGGCAGCCTCCTGGGGCGGGGGGATGGGCGCATGAAGAAGGAGGCGGGGGAAAGGCCGCCCCCTGGGGTGAGGAGGGGGAGGAGCCGGGTGCTAGCTCTGTCCTTGGACCTGCGCAGGGACTGCAGTGTCTTCCCAGAGCCTCGTGCAGAGAAAGGGGCTTCTAGAACGCTGGAGTCTAGAATCTGGAATCCTACCGGCACGTTCTGTGTTCTGAGGCCCCTCCCAGCCCTGACCTTCCCTGTTCTAAGGCCCCTCCCAGCCCTGACATCCCCTGTTCTAAGGCCCCTCCCAAATCTGACCTTCCTTGTTCTAAGGCCCCTCCCAGCCCTGACATCCCCTGTTCTAAGGCCCCTCCCAGCCCTGACCTTCCTTGTTCTAACGGCCCTCCCAGTTCTGACCTTTCTTGTTCTAACGGCCCTCCCAGCTCCAATGTTCTAGTATCTATGAACCTCAGAGCTCCTGCATGTGAGGCATCTTGTATCTGCCTCCGGGCTCTGGCCTGGCCTCTTCCTCCCTGGTCACAGATCTCTAACTTTTACTCGCCACCCCCACCTTGTGGTCCCTGAACCAAGAGACCTGGAAAGAGGTCTGACGGACCTCATTTATAGGGGATGAAACTGGCCCTCAGAGGTGTGCCAACTTGTCCAAACATTCAAGTGGGACTTGAACCCAGGTCCTGGGACACCAGGTCCAGCCTTTTCCCACTGGACATCCAGATTGGCTCCCTTGTCCCTGAGGGTTTGCTGAGTCCCCAGGGCTGGGAAGAAGAGCCCAGAGCGATCACTCAGAAGCTTGTGCCTCAAGGCACATTCAAGACCTGTATCTATGAGATGTGGACACATGTAAATGTATGTAAAGTGTGTGAGGAAAGTGCTGGACCAAGTGTTGGGTCACGAGCAGCAAGTTCTGACCTTTTAATCACTCCAAATCTCACCGCTTGGGGAGGAATCAGAGTCCTGGGGGAAAGTAGAGGCTGGAACCTTTTATCCTCCCTTTCACTCCTTCTTCCCTTTTGGTCTCCTGAAATATTCCTCTCGGATTCCTCATTTATTATTTGTGTTCCCTGTGGGGTGGATGATTCTGTGGCCCTGGATCTGATCTCCCCCTGTACCCCCTTCCTGTGTGCTGACCCCCAGCCCCCCTCCCCATTCTGTCTGCCAAGCAGCTTCTGAAAGAGGTAACGCTGGGTGGTCAGTCAACAAACATTTGTTAAGGGCCTACTATGTTCTAGAAGCTGCTCTGAGCATTAGGGATACAAAGAAAGGTCTCCTCCCCAATGACCGAGCCAGCTCCTGTCTGGGTCCATGTCCCTGCCACCCCTGCACCCCCTTAGCATCACCAGAGCAGGATACGTTGAGGGGAAATGCCCTCGGTTCATCTTCCTGTGTGAATCTTCCATGAATGCATCCCACTATCTGGTCCTCAGACACAGCAGTGTTTCCTGGGCCGGTCCTTGGAACCCTCTGAGATTGGCAAGACCTGTCAGAGCCTTCTGGAGCCAGGCTCATCTCCCTGTAAGGGAGTGAGAGGGAGGGCTGGGGAGGGAGCTGACACTTTCACATTAATGACCGTGTTTCATCTTTGTGCCTGTCCTGTGAAGGACGTGGCCAGCTAGGATGGGAACCCAGATATATGGACTTTTTCTCCAGTACCAAGAGTTAAGGGGGTTTGGGGTTCAGAGTAACCTCTAGAGGTTTGACAGGCCAATGGTGGAGCTTTCCCACCCATTTATACTGATGCGTGTAGCCTCTACGTAGCAGTTTGTCTACCGTCTTCCCTAATTAGGTCGTGACTACAGTCTTCCCTAATTAGGTCGTGAGTGCCTTGAAAGCATGGACTGTCTTTTGTCGACCTCTGCACCAGTTCAGACAAGTCTTCCCAGGATTCTCTGAAACCACCCCTTCCTTATTTCTTACAGCATGATAGTACTACATTATTTTCATATACTTTATTAAACATGTATCTATACACAACACATATAAATATATGTGTGCATGTTTATATGTAAAATATTTCCCAATTACATATACAAATTTTTTCAACATTTATTTTTTATAATTTTGAGTTCCAAATTCTCTCCCTCTCTCCTGCCTCTCCCACCTCTTAAGAAGGCATGCAATATGTTACCAAATACTTCATTGCTTGTTCAGTCATTCCCAGCTCCCTCAATTTACTATTCTTTGCCACTGCAAAAAGAGCCACTGAAAGTATTTTTATAAGCCTTTTTTTGGTGTTCATTTTGCTACAAACTAGTCCCTCCCTTACTCTATCTTCCTTATCCCCCCTTCCCCTTTCTCACCTCTCTCAGTAGTATAAAATATATCTCTGTACCCAACCTTATTTATGTGTATTTTTCCCTCCTTTGATGAGTTCAGATGAGAGTGAAGTCCAGGTATCAATGGTTCTCCTTCTTTCTTTGTACAAGCTGCTAGGTGCTATGTTAGATGAAGTTCTGCATGTGAAATTATTATTGTCTTTTTTTATTTTTTATTTTTATTAGTTTATTTGGATTTATCAACAATCACTTCCACATGCTTCTGAGTTGAAAATTTGTCTCTCTCTTCACCCCCCCCCCACCTTCCCCAAGACGATGCACAATCTGATATAGGCTTTACATTTATATACCCATTAAACATATTTTCACATTAGTGAAGTTGTAAGTAAAAATTAAAACCAATAGGAGGAACCATCAGAAAGATGAAACAAAATTCAACAGAAGGTAAAAATAAGTGATAGCGATTCGACTTCCATAGTTCTTTCTTTGGATGTGGGCAGCATTTTCCATCAAGAGGCCTCTGGGATGTCTTAGATCCTTGTAATGCTGAGAAGGGTTCAGTTTGACAATCTTAGTCATTGCATAATGTGGCTGTTATTGTGTACAAAGTCCTCTTGGTTCTGCTCACTTCACTCAGCATCACACCACACAAGTCTTTCCAGGTTTTTCTGAAGTCAGCCTGTTCATCATTTCTTATAGCACAATAGTATTCCATTACATTCATATACCACAACTTGTTCAGCCATTCCGCAACTGAAGGGCATCTCCTCAATTTCCAATTCTTTGCCACCACAGAGAAAGCTGCTGTAAATATTTTTATGCATGTGGGTCCTTTTCCCATTTTTATGACCTCTTTGGGATACAGCCCTAGAAGTGCTATTTCTGGGTCAAAGGGTATGCACATTTTTGTAGCCCTTTGGGCATAGTTATAAATTGTTCTCCAAAATGGTTGGATCATTTTACAACTCCACCAACAATACATCAGTGTTCCAATTTTCCCACATCTTCTCCAACATTTATCATTTTTCTGTTTTGTCATGTTGGCCAATCTGATAGGTGTGATGTGGTACCTCAGAGTTGTTTTGATTTGCATGAAATTATTGTTGTTTTTGTTATTATAGATTGTAGATTGACTGTAAGGTTTGGCCAAGGAGGACTTTCCTCTCTCCAGAAAGGGGGCAGAATTGATTCTCTTAGACCACACTTGTGTCCACCCATAGGGTTCAGCCTTGGGAGGGTCATTCATTTGGCCATTACCTTTTCTTCTCTCCTCTCATTCTCTTATCAGTTATACCTAGCCACAGCAATGGATCAGTAACTCACTTAGCCCGAGAGTTAAGGCAAAGCCCAGTCCTTTCAACTTCTTTGGGGGGAGCTCATAAAAATAAACAAATTATCCTAAGTATTTGTTAAGCCCCCAGATCACCCCTCCTTGTTAGACAGAAAAGAGACTTCACAGCAAAATGAAGCAAAAGATTTCTTTAAAAAGAGCTCTGGATTAAAGAATTAGGAGAACAAATAATTTAGAAGGAAAGTAGTAAATCTTACCTAAGTCACAAACTCCCTAAGAAGCAGAGTAGACCAAATAAAAATCAATAACTCCATGAGAGAGCAAGGAATAGTAGAATAAAATTTTTTAAAAATTGAAAAGAGAAGAAAATGTAATATATCTGATATAAAAAACAATTGACATGGAGAACAGATCAAAGAAAAATAATGTAAGAATCATTGGATTCCCTGAAAACCATAATTCTTAAAGGCCTGGACACTTTATTCCAAGGAATCACAAATGAGAACCATTCAGCTCTATTATAAGCACAGAGTAAAATGAAAATAGAACCCATTGATCACCTCTCCTTCTGAAAAACAAACATGCTTCAAAAGGCTGAGTCCCAGAAATGTCATACTCAAAATCCAGAGCTCAAAGGAAAAATATTATGAGCAGCCAGAAAGAAGTTGATGTACCAAGGAACCACAGTTAGGATTCCACAAGACCTGACAGCTTCTTCTAAAAATGAAAGAAGAACTTGGAATACAATATTCTGAAGGACAAACAGTATAGATTTATGACTAAGAATAACTTACCCTGAAAACCTGAGTAAAATCCTAAGGGAAAAAAATATACTTCTAATGGAATGAAGGACTTTCAGGCATTTCTGATGAAAAGACCAGAGCTGAATAGGAATTTTGAAATACAAAAACCAGAGTCCAGAGAAATATAGAAAGTTAAATTTATTTGAGGACTTGGAGAGAGCTGTATGATATTATAGTGATAACCTTCTAATGGGGGAGAAGAAACAAATGTTCTTTCAGAATTGTAATGTCTTCAAAAAGTATTGAAAGGATTAAATTAAAAAAAAAACAGGGGACCTCAGTGGATTGGTTCTACTCTGATATTTTTTAAAAGGGAAAAAGAAGAGAGAGAAAAAGGAATATATGAATGCAGAAGGGAGGAAAAAGCCAGTTGAACTTATTATTTTTCATAATTGGGATGTATGAGAAAAAGAATATGCAAACATGGAGGAAGGAGTTGGGGAAACCGCCATCAAATGAACCTAGCTCTTATCTGAAATGGATAAAGGAGGGTTTAATGCATGCGTGGGTGCATCAAACTTAATTGGGAGGTAATTGGGGATAGGAAGGGGGTGATTTAAGAGGGAGGATAGTTGAAAAGAAACCAAACTTCCTGATCTTGGAGGAGGGGTTAAAAGAAAAAAAAACTGGTTCCAGTTCCTAAGAGGGATGAATGTCTATTGTTGGGAGTGGGGTGGCTGAACAGATGGTGACATAGGAATGTAATGAATGTAATGAAATCTTATTGCACCGTAAGAAATGATGAAAGAGACTATTTTGGAAAATCCTGGGTGGTTTGAACTTGTGCCAAGTGAACCAAGCCGGGAGAACAATTTACTCAAGGACACATGGTAAAGAAAAGAAAAGAGTGCCAAGAATTTTGATGAATGCAATTACCAACCATGTGTCTCTCCAAGACAGAAAGGAGGCTGTCTACATCTGGTCTTTTCAAGGGGCAGAAAGAGACCCTTTTTTTTTTTTTAACATGGCCAATGTGTGAATTCATGCCGCTTGACTTTATTTATTTTTTTTAGACCTTTCTTTAAATTTTGCTGATTTATACTTAGTGAAGCCACCGTTTTGTCCTCCTGGAGTTAGTTTCATTCCAATGCTTGAAGATGTCACCTGATGTAATAAGGATTTTTTTTCTTTGTCTTAATCAGGGAGAGGAGGTTGTGGAAGAGTGAAAGGAAGCAATGTTAGCACCGGGCTAAAAAGAGGCCTGTTGACATTTTTTTCCCCCTCTAAATGAACTCCTCCCCTTGCCTTCATCTGGAAATTTGTTGGGTCAATATTTCATCAGGGTATGGCAACTCACAACGCCTGAGGCACCTGCCAAGTCTGAGAGATCCTGATGCCTCATGAGGAGGACTTTTTATGTCCTTAGATGACCCAGGAGCTGGGGCCAAGTAGGTCCTGGGGTTGGCTTTGTCTTCCTTTGGGTAAAGTCTCCCCATGTTATGGGTGGGAGGAAAGGAGCTTCATCAGGGAAATCCCAGTCTTATCATGAAGGGGGCATCTCCTAAGAATCAAATAGCTTTACCCCCGGATGACAGAGGCAGCCCCTCCTCACCCTCCTAGGGCTCACACTCCACAGTCTCCCCAAGCCTCATGAATTGAATTCAAGGCTAACAGGCTCAGTTATCCAAAGGCTTCAGTCAATCTCATGCTCCCCTTCCAATCTAGTAGGAGAAACATTTTTATCTTTTTCAAGAGCATGCTGGACTTTCATCCACCTGGACTATTTCTAAAAGTTTCCTAACAGGTCGTCCTGTCTTCAATTTCTTCTCCCCCATCACCAAAATGATCCTTCCTCCACCCTTTCCAAACAAAATGATGGGATACCAGGTGCAGGGGGGACAAAGAAGCTTCTGAGATTCCCTTCTGCACATGAAATCTTCCACTGAGTAAATATTTCTGAAATGCACGTTAAGAAAACAGTCATTACCCTCCAGGAATTTATTTATAGTCTAGTAAACAAGAAACCTCACCACAGTGTCCCTGATAAGTGGCCTCATAGAAAAGAAATGAACAGTTTGGCACAAGAGGGTACAAAACCTTGCTCAAGCACCCAACTCCCTGAAAATTAGAATGGACAAAATAAAGCCAATGATCCCATGAGACAATGAGAAATAGTAAAACATCAAAAGACCGATAAAATAGAGGAAAACATAAGATATCTCATATTTTTAAAAAAACTGACCTGGAAAACAGAATGAGAAAAAAAATTATTGGATGTTTGACCAGAAAAAAAGAGCCTAGACATTATATTGGAAGAAATCTTCCCAGATCTCTGAGACCCAGAATGCAAAGTGGAAATAGAAAGAATCCATCTCCTGAAAGCAACATCAAGATGGAAATCCCCAGGAATGTTATAACCAAAATCCAGAGCTTTCAGCTCAAAGAAAAAATATTGCAAGCAACCAGAAAGAAGGAATTCAAGTACGGAGGGACCACCGTCAGAATCCACACATGATTTAGCAGCCACCACCGTAAAGGAATGGAGATTTTGGAATGTGATATTCCAGAAGGCAAAGGACATAGGCTTACAGCCAAGCATAACTTACCTAGCAAAACTGAGTATATAATGATACAGGAGAAATTATGAATCTTTAATGAAATAGAAAACTTCCAAGCATTCCTGGTGGAAATACCAGAGCTGTGTAGCAACTTTGAAGTTCAAACACAGGGGTTATGGGAAATATAAAAGGGTAAACATGAACAAACAATCACAAGGGCCTAAACACAGATGAATTGCTTACATTAAAATGGGGGCAGGTGATAAATGTGTCCCCTCTGAATCTTAGCATCATCAGGAGTCATAGAGAGAGCCTAATAGATAAGGTCTGGGAGTGGTTCTGTTATGGCTTGATGAACTTAAAAGAAGAATGCAAAGGCAAGGGAAGAAGAATACAGTGAGGAGGGAGAGAGGATGGGAAAAAGAGGTTAGGGAAAATTATCTCAGATAATTGGAATGCACAAGTAGGTATCTAGACAAACAAGGAAGTCAAGGGGGAACTGCCTGACACTTGCACCTCACTCGTCTGAACTGGTCAGACAAATACACACATACACACTCAACAGAGAAGAAGGAAGAGGAGAGTGGTGGGGAAGGGGAGTCAGAGAAAGAGTAGATTAAAGAAGGGATTAGTCCTAAACAAAGGGAACTTTGGGCAGCTAGGTGGTGTTCTGGACAGAGTACTGGGCCTGGAGTTAGGAAGACTTCATCTTCCTGAGTTCAAATAGGGTTTCAAACATGAAACTAGCTGTGTGACCCTGGGCAAGTTACTTCACCCTGTTTGCCTCAGTTTCCTCATCTGTCAAATGAACTGGAGAAGGAAATGGCAAACCACTCCAGTACCTTTGCCAAGAAAACCCCAAAGGGGGTCAAGAAGAGTCAGATACCAACATGAACTTTAAGGATATTTTAAAAAAAAAAGCATTTATAGCTCTGTTTGAGGTGGCAAAGAATGAGGTTTTGAGGTAGTGGTTAAATATGTTACGTATGATACATATAGATATAGCTATAGAGATACACGTGTGATGGAATACTGTTGTGTTTTGAGATATGATGAAAGAGATGGTTTCTGAGAAGCCTGAAGAAACTTGTCTGAACTGATGCAGAGGGAAGTGAGCAGAACCAGGAGAACAGTTTCCGCAGTGACAATAACATTGTAAAGACTTAGGAATTCTGATCGGTGTAATGAGCAGCCAGCAATTCCAGAAGGACCTAGGATGAAATTTGCTACTCACCTCCTGAGAGAGAGGTGAAGGACTCAATGTGCAGAATGAAGCATATGTATGTGTACATATACATGTATATATATATATATATATATATACACACATATATATACATACACACACATATTTATATATGGTTTCCTTTTATACATGGCCAATGAGGAAATTATTTTGCTTGCTTGTACATGTTTACAATAGGGGCTTTGTTTTTCATTCTCAGTTAGAGGGGGGCATAGAGGAGAGAGAGAAAGGTGGATTTTTGCTAATTGAAAAAAAATTTAATTAAACGAGATATCAATACAATTTATTTTTTATTTTTATATTTTTATATTTTATTTTCTTTTGGCTAGGCAATGGGGTTAAGTGACTTGCCCAGAGTCACACAGCTAGTAAGTGTTATGTGTCTGAGACCGGATATGAACTCAGGTCCTTCTGAATGCAAGGCTGGTGCTCTATCCACTGTGCCACTAGCTGCCCCCATTTTTTTTTTTTAAAGAAGAAAATGATGATGCCTCTGTCCTGTGTCTCTGACCCTGGAATCTGGAGATCTAGATGCAAGCCTCAGTTTGGCTATTCCTCTGTAACCTTGGACAAGTCCTTTCCTCTCTCTTGGCCTCAGCTTCCTCTTCTGTAAAATGGGGGCTATTCATACTTGAGGGCTGTGGTTGTTGTGAGACTCGCCTGAACTATTGATTGGACAGATCTTCACCAATGAGCATTTGTTAAGTGCCTGCTGTATACCAGGCCCTGTGCTAAGCACTGGAGATGATAAGAAAGGCCAAAAGACAGTGCCTGCCCGCAGGGAGTTCACAGTCTGATGGAAGAGGCAAGGTATAGACAGTCTGATCAGTATGTATTTGTTAAGCCCCTGACTGTGCCAGGCGTGGCTGGTGATCAGGACACAGAAAGGTGGAAGACAGTCTGTGCTGGAGGAGCTCACGGTCTACGGCTTGGACATGTATGTGGAGGGTGACGGGGCGGGGGGATGGTGGCTAACTTCAGGGCTCCTGCCCCACCCCTTTCTCTTCCCCAGATTACTGAGATGCCTTCTCTGAGGAAACCCTGGCACTCCATGGCAAAGGTGCTCATCCTGGGATGCCTCTTCACCGGCTTCCTTCTGCTGTTCTATGCCTACGTGGCCCCCCTGCAAGTCAGCATGACTGAGTGAGTAGGGGGAGGGAGAGGGGCATGAGGGAAGCGGGAAGGGAGGAAGAACATATTCCATTAAAGGAAACAGCTCTGGTGCAGGGAGAACTTGGAGCCCTGGGGACTTGCAACACCCAAAGGTGCTTTTCCAGCTCAGCCTAGGACAGTGGGTGGGGATTCACAGGTGGTTGTACCTGGGAGGGCCTGTAGAACAGGGGATGTCAGAGCTGAGAGGGACTTAGAACAGGGGATGTCAGGGCTGAGAGGGGCCTGAGAACAGGGGATGTCAGGGCTGGGAATGGTGTTAGAATAGAGAATTACAAGTTAAGAACTACTCAGGGCTTGGGCTTCACATGAACACAGTCTGATCTTGGGGCTGACCCCCGAGGCTCACTTTCTTTCTCTGGGTCATCACCCTGGGGCTACCCCAGGACAATCTCTAAATACACTCATGTCTCTGTTTCCCCAAAGGTGGGTCAAAGAGGTCCCCAGCTCCCCTTAGTTATTTGATGCTGTGACCTCTCACCAGTTAGTGGAATGAAAATGGGAGGAGGCAGTGAATAGAGTGAGTTACTTATTTGTTTATGACAGTTGTCTGTGTCCTAAGTTATCAAACTGTGATAGTTGTGTGAAAGTTATGCCTTCTGCCCCGAGATCACGAGGACTGAAGGTTTGACTCATCTGGGAAGGGCTGTTTGCATTGGGCCCCTCTGGCTCCACCAAGCAGCTTTCCCTTCGCTAGCTGGGCCTTGGATTAATGACTGATTTTGTGGGTCATCTGGGAGAAGGGGGAGAGAACACTCTGTCTTTAGGTATCAGTGTATATATATATATATAATATATACATATGCACATATATATGTCTACTTGTACAGCTAGATCCCAATTAGCACAAATAACATGTATTTGCATTATTCAAATTCACACGGCATATTTCCATTAGACTGAAACCAATAATTCCATTTTACATAATTATAACTTCAAATAGTGAGAATTTGAATACATTGGGACCTATATTCATACATTTTTCATGTTCTTTTAGAGATATTTTAACATAGACACGTTTAAATAATGTACCATATTGATATTTTTTGTTTTATATTACCTGTATTTCCCCTTGTAGATTTCCCTCCTCTCCAGCCTCCCAGAGAGTCATCCCTTAAAACAAAGAATTTTTTTAAAAAGTGGTAGTGGGAAGGGGTGGATAGGTGGCGCAGTGGATAGAGGACCAGCCCTCAAGTCAGGAGGACCTGAGTTCAAATTCGACCCCAGCTACATAATACTCACTAGCTGTGTGACTCTGGGCAAGTCACTTAACTCCAATTGCCTCACTAAAAAAAAAAAAGTGGAAGAGGGGAAAGAAATCCAACAAAACTCATCAACCCTTTGAAACAGACTATATATACATATAAAATATAATATATGTAGATAGATATGTAGATATTTATATGCACATATACATATATATATAAACACACAATAAATAGGAATATAAAATATCTTTGGACCTCCATAGAAACAATTTTTTTTTATCCATAGAAACTTTTTTTTTTAATCCAGCCCCTGTCAAATGGCACCATCTCTGCAGAGCTGAAGCTCTGTCTTTGGGGACATGGATCAGCTACAGTGCCCCAGCTGACATTTTCAGCTATCCTAGCACAACACCTTTGGTTGCTAGGATTAAGCTGTCTTCATCCTGAGACTGTGCTGTTCCGATTGGTAGTTGCCATGGTCACCTGGGCCCGGCCCCAGCCACGCTTCACTTCCTTCCCCGGCTATCTTTTTATTAGCTGCCTGGCCACCTCACATTTCATGCATGCCCTCTCCCCTGTTTTCCAGTTTGTGAACCTTAACCAGCCAATCAATCGATCAACATTTATTAAGCACCTACTGTGTGCCAGTCACTGTGCTAAGCTCTGGGGATATGAAAAGAGACAAAAACTAGTCCCTGCCCTCACGGAGCTTATAATCTAACAGGGGAAATAACACGAAAGCAAACTTTAGATGGGATAAATAGGAGATAATTAAGAGAGGGAAGACACTGGAATGAAGAGGGGCTGGGAAAGGCTTCCTGTAGAAGGTGGGATTTAGTTGGGACTTAAAGAAGCCTGGGGAGGTCAGTAGTTGGAGCAGAGGAGGAAGAGCATTCCAGCCATGGGAGATGGCCAGAGACGATGCCAAGAGCCGAGAGATGGAGGGTCTTGTTCGTGGAACACCCAGGAGGTGGCGTCGTGGAGGTCAGAGTATGTGGTGGGGAGCGAGGTGTAAGGGGCCTGGAGAGGTAGGAGGGGGCAGGTGGTGAAGGGCCGGGGTCATTGCTCATTTAAAGGTCCTGTCAGTGTATCACCCAGTGTCTCCCCTCACTATCCCTGAAACTTTCCAGACTAAATACTCACCCCAAACCACTCCTCCCCAACCGTGTTATCTCCTCATATTAGAATGGAAACTTTTTTTTTTAAGGCAATTGGGGTTAAGTGACTTGCCCAGGGTCACACAGCTAGTAAGTGTCAGGTCTGAGGCCGAATTTGAACTCAGGTCCTCCTGACTTCAGGGCTGGTGCTCTATCCACTGCGTCACCTAGCTGCTTCTTAGAATGGAAACTTCTTGAGGCTAGGAATTGGTTTTGCGTTTGTATCTGCATCTTCAATGCTTGGCAAACAGTAAGTGCTTAATCAGTATTTTTTCATTCATTCATTCATTCATTCATACCTGTCCTCAATGTGGCACATACATATCAGCTGATGAGAAGCCTTTATTCCACTCCACATAAAATACACACGTGGAAAGGACTCTTGGGAAATCAAAAAGAGAGTCCAACTTGAGGTTGTCACCAAGACAATCTCTTGATATTCAAGTGAATTCCTTTTTCGTGAAGAGTCCCAAGTGCTTCCCCCAGGACTCATAGTACCACCCTCTGGTTTAGAATCCCCCAGCACCAGGGCAGCTAGGTGGTGCAGTGGATAGAGCACCAGCCCTGGATTCAGGAGAACCTGAGTTCAAATCTGTCCTCAGACACATAACACTTACTAGCTGTGTGATTCTGGGCAAGTTACTTAACCCCATTGCTTAGACAAAAATAAATAAATAAATAAATAAAAGAACCCCCCAGCAGGCATGTGCTTTGGGGGCCACTGACCCCCTAACCTACTTAATTAAGGTTAGCCTAGCTTCAGGCTAGGAAGGCTAATTGGTCAGCCACAGTCCAACCCTAATCTTCCACAAGGTTAGGGAGTTCCCCAGGGAACTGAGTTGAGGCAAGCTGGGGGATTCCATATCTGCCTAGGGATAATACTCTAGCACCCTGTTATCTTCCTCTCCAGATGCAGAAATTTTGCAGTTCCTTGCAAAACCAGCCACTGTAAACTTGATACCAGCAATTCACACATGATAGCTTCCAAATCAATCTTAGCACCTAGCAGAACAAGGATGATGAACCTTTCAAATTAAAGCATCCCGGGTAATCATCTCAGAATGCCAACAGTGCAAATAAGCCTTGACGATACATTCCATAACCATGGTACGGTGACCCTGGTTCCATTTCTCCTCTCCTGGCATTTTCATCCCCCATCCCTCATCTCTGGAATTCTCTCTTTCCTCACCTCCAACTCCTGGCTTCCTTCGAGTCCTAGCTTGACTCCTACCTTCTGTAAGAGACCTCTCTCCTGCTACTCCTTAATTTTCGTGCCTTTTCTCTGAGATCACGGCCAATTTTCCCTGCCTATAGTTCTTTTTACGTTGTTTTGTTTTATATATATATATATTGTCTGCCCCATCACATTGTGAGCTCCCTGAAGGCAGAGACTGAGGCAGCCTTTTTTCGTTATCTCCATGGCTTCACACAATGCCTGGAATACAGTAGGTGCTTAGTAAATGCTTTCTGGAAAAACTATCACTTACCTCAGGGACTCGGCTCTAAATTAAACATGGGGTATATTATATACAGGTATCAAAGGAGTGCATGCATACAGAGAGATCAGGCAAATATCATAAGTATTAACAAAACTTATTAACATAATTATTCGGGAAAGTATTAACATGAGTGGGCCCACAGGATAACATGGCCAGCGTAAACAGTAGTTCATATGCCAGCAAACCACAAAACAACATAGAGCTGATAGACAGATGTATCTATGCTGCGTTGCAGGAGACAGGTAGGTGGTGCAGAGTATAGAAGGCCAGGCTGGAGTCAGTAAGACCTGAGTTCAAATCTGGCCTCAGACACTCCTTAGCTGGGAGTCCCTGGGCAAGTCATTGTCTGCCTCAGTTTCCTCATCTCTAAAATGGGGGTAATAATAGCACCTACTTCCCATGGTTATTGTGAGGAGCAAATAAGGTAATATTTGTAAAGGGCTTAGCAAGTGCCTGGCACATAGTAGGAGCGTAATAAATGTGGATTGACTGACCGACCTATGACCCAGTAAGTGGCTGCAGTGAACTGTCTTTGCAGGACCTCTCAGCTGCCTTGGTGAGGCTGGTCTCTAAAAGGGCCACTTGCCCAGTCTCTGCACACCTGGCTGTGGAGCGGCTTTCTGGGGGCTCACTAACTTGTGTGTCCCATGAACACATTTTCAGCCCAACTCTGCCGCCTCATCGAAGGTCTTGGCAATGAACGTGGGCTTCAGGAAGTTGAAATACTTTCTTTCTGTGACTGGGTTTGCCCAGTTCTGTCTTGATGCCTCCTTGAGCCCTAGTGGTTAATGTTTCTCATGCTGCTTGCATTTAGGATATGAAGTGTGTGTGTGTGTGTGTGTGTGTGTGTGTGTGTGTGTGTGTGTGAGAGTGTGAGTGTGTGTGAGAGTGTATGAGTGTGAGTGTGTGTGAGAGTGTATGAGTGTGAGTGTGTGAGTTGTGTGTGAGTGTGTGAGTTGTGTGTGAGTGTGTGTGAGAGAGCGTATGAGTGTGGGTGTGTGGGTGTATGTGTGAGTGTGAATGTGTGTGAGTGTGAGTGTTTGTGTGTGTGTGTGTGTGTGTGTGTGTGTGTGTGTGAGGGTGGGGGTGAGAGGTGGGTCATGAATTCTA